AAGAAGTTTGTTTTTTTTGTTTTATAAGGGGTGTAGTTATGGTGATTTGTATGTTGGGCTTTATATGTGTTCTGTATGGGTGGGTGTTATTTTGTTTTTTATTATTTATTGATATTGTGGTTGCACTTGAGTGGAGAAGATCTACTGGCTGAATTAGATGTTTGAGCAGTGGGTTTCAAGAAGAGATCTGTGTTAAAAACCTACAACTACATAAAGTATTTTTAGCTTCAGAAATTATATATATATATATATATATATATATATATATATATATATATATATATATATATGTGCGTGTGTGTGTGTTGATATGGGTATTATGTATTATATTTATACATGTTTATATATATGTATATTGTATGTTCGTATGTCTTCGTATATGTATGTATATCTTAGTGTCTTGGAATGTATCATCAATACTAACTAAAATCTACTTTTGTTTGATAAGGGTTTTTAATTGCTTATAGACTTAATTGTGTCTCGTTACATTTTAAAATTATTATGGACTTTGCTGTACTTTATCATCAATAAGATAATATTGTTAGAATATGTGTAGGTTTATGTATGTATATACCTATTTATGTGTGTGTGTGTGTGTATATATGTATGGATGGATGGATGTGTATGTGTGTATATGTATATATGTGAAGGTTTAAGTTTGTATGTGTTTTTTATATATATGTGTTTTTTATATATATGCGTGTGTTTGTATGTGTATATATATGTTTGTTTCAGTTTATATATGTGTGTGTATATATGTGTGTACATATGTATATATATTTATATTTCGTCTGTTTACATTTTTACGTTGCTGTGTGGCTTGATATATTTATGCTTGCTTCTGTATGTGTATATATGCGTATATGTATGTGTAGATATATGTGTGTATGTTTGTCTGTAGGTAGGCTTTTCTGTGTTTCTGTCTGTAATGAAGAATGTGTGTACACTGTACACATATCTCTGTAGGTAGTTATTTTCTTTTACCTACTGTGCAGTAGTGCGTATATATATACGAAATATATATTTTTATATATATTTGTGTGTATGGAATTTTCGTTTTTATATATTAGATGGTGTTATTTTTATACGTATATATCTGTTTTAATGTCCTTTCTTTCCCTATTGTTTGTTTCTCTGTTCTCCATTTTTATCTATGTATATTTGCCCGTATAAGTTATATTTTAATAAGTGGTTAGAATTCGTTTAATAACACTTTCAATCTTAAATATTTCTTGGTTGTTGTAATGGAATGTCTATGTATGTGGGTGTATGTACGTGTCTTAATTGGTGTCTGTGTGTATGGTAACTTGGATGCACCTTTCATTGTGTATGTTTTTTTTTGTAAAGGGTCATGGAGATATTTCCTGTCTCATCACTTTTTCGTGTGTGTATATATCTAAATACGTCTGCATAAAAACAAAAATAGACTAACATGTATTTTTTCTTTTTTCCTCAGTAATTTTATAATTTTAAACTTAATAGAGATTAAATTTAAATTTTAAAATGGGTAATTTTAATTTTTAATTTCAGATTTTATCATATAATTTAATACTTATTAGTTAGAATAAATTCTATTTTAGTCTATCCCCAACATTAAGGCATTAAATAGTTATTATAACCTTAGTTCGTTGTCAAGTTTTTTGAATTCTCATATACTTGTATTTTGATTGGTCATTCTAGCTTATGTAACATTTCCCCTTGTGAGGGGTGGTTGATTTGAACCTTTTAAAACCCTTTATTCTACATTTAACATCATCACTTGATAAGACACCAGAGGTGTTGAAACAAAATGGCTATTTTTGTAGTGGTTTTATAACATATTTGTGTTATAATTTTCGAATAAATAATTATATTTGCTGTACTCTGTATTGAGCACTCTTTTAAGAATAGTAATTGTTGGATATTGGAATTTATTCCGTATACACTAATCCTATACTTGTATGCATGTATATATATATATATATATATATATATATATATAGATAGATAGATAGATAGATAGATATATAGATACCTATCTATTTAGAGATATATCTAGATAGAGATATAGATATATATCTAGAACTAGCCTAAAAGGCGTCCTATCAGGAGGCATTTAAGCTAACTCTTGTGAAGGGCTCTTAATACAACCTTCATCACAATAGGTTGAGAGTAGATGCAATAAGCAACAATAAATTACAAAAGAACTCAAAACTGATCACTGCATTTAAGTAATGCATTAATATTTAAGCTTACCTTTTAAAAGTTTAACAATAATTCTTCTGCCACCACTTAATTTAAACACCATTTGATGTATGTAGGTCCTTATTTTCCATACAAACAATTATTTTTATTTCATGGGGGACTTTCACTGGATTTTACAATTAATTTCAATTATTCCAAAATTTATTTCCAAGTTCTAAAAATTATCGTACAAAACAATTTGTCAAAAAAAAAAAAATTATTATTTCACCAAAATGAATGAAAACTTGGGAATCCAAAATTTCAGGATTGTAGGTCAGGTTCTGTTCCAAAATGTTTTTAATTTGCTCAATTTGGAAAGTGCTCAATATCAGTGATAGAGCTAACATATTCAGTTGTATGGATATGAGTTTTCATGCTTTTGTAATCAGACAAACTGTTTTATTTTTCGAAAATTCAACCTATTTATGCTTGTTTCTGTTTGATTACGTTAGGTGGCAGGGGGATTCTCACATTTCCATTCCGGGATGACACTCTTACACACAGAGACGTACATGCATACAGTTGTACACATGAAAGTTCACACAAACACATCCATATAAAAAATTCAAGGTTAGGCACAGATACATATCCGTGCATATGAGTATATATACATACACAATTGTAATCTTATTTCGGTGTCAGGACTGTATGCAACAAGGGGCAGATTAGGGTTCTTTTCAGATTAGCTGTCTGCATTGTCAAATGAATTAACACTTCTTCACACACACACACTCACACATATATATAGATGTAGCTATTTGTCTGGGCCTTACATCACCACATTGGTTAAGGGGGTTCTGTTTGTGGATATGGTGATGATGATGTATTGAATTTTTAAATGCTGACTGCTTGTGTGTTAGTTTGTCTGATGATCACAAAAGTGTGAAACCCAGAGTCACAAACTCAATACAAAGGCTTATGCAGTAATCAACAGATATCAGTGTTGGTCAAAGCTGCAGTACACCAGCCTGTGTTACCATAAAGAAGAGATGAATATGGATTGCAAAGATTGTTTGGAAAGTAGAATAGCTGTTTTCAAATTACAGGTTTATTTAAGTAGTTATTCAACCTGGACTTCATTCATATATATGGAGGGAGGGTGTAGCCATTTTGTCGTTTGCTAAATGTAGCTGCTTATGAAAATATAATGTTGAATAATACATCCTCACAAACAACAGGCCACACCACCCAGGATCAAGAGGATTCACCTTTGGACAAATTTACTTGACTGTTAATGAAAAAATCTGAATATCTAATGAATTTCCCTAAGCCTTTTGCATTGAGGTCCCCAAGTGCTTCATCTTAGCTGGACAATTGAAAAAAAAAAAAAAAAAAAAAAAAAAAATTTTAATAATTTGCCATACATTTTTTAACTCTTCTGTCTGTTGGCCAGTAAAATTTCTTAAATTATGTTGGTCCTTATTTCTAATGAATGAATTCACACCTTTTAATCTCCAGTAAAGTAGCCAGCAGTTTTGTTTTATTTTATACATATAACAAAATAAAACAAAAATAAAATAAAACACCAACAACCACTTTTTAGTTCAAGCTACCACCACTATAACTTTAATTCATGGTTTTATCATTCTCCCACCACCGTTACTAATCATTTCTACCAATTTGCAATTTCTTCCAATTTACAATAACTATTAGCTAAATATCATTGTCTCCAATCCCTTGAAACATTACTATCACATCATATCATATAGACCCGTTATTAAATTGAACCACCCTCTCACCCAGTATATTAAATATCACCATATAAATTAAAAAATAATAAGGATTACAAATTTCTACCTGTTACATATACACAGTCACCAAAAAACAAACAAATAAACCAGCTTTAAATATAACAAATAAACCCCATTTTTTTTTCAAAAAATAAAATAAATATAAATAATAATAATTTTTTACCTATCATAATTTTACACAAACCCCACCACACGTATATACATACATGCGAGGAAATATTTTTCAACATTTTTTGAAAAAAAAAATATATATACATATGACATGTATACATTCACGAGACATTAACGTGACATTTCCGCCACACTTCCAATGTTTAAATTTCAACATTTCAACATACAAATGCGTATGTATAGACATAACACCACCCGTATACATACATGTGTCATAGCCGAAACTGCCCACATATGTTTATATATGTATGAGTCCCGACGGACGACCAAGTATGTATATGTGTCTGCATATATCGATGTTTGCGTTAGTACGATGAATGACAAAACGACGAAATTTCCCCACCACTTCCACAATAACACCAATACACGCAATCTACATAAACCCAAATTTTTTAAAACATTAATCAGTTTGTCTGACGAATCGCTAAAGCGTGAAACCCAGGGTCACAAACTCACATCTATCCAACCAAATATGTTAGCTCTATCTCTGATATTGAGCGCTTTCTAATAATTACCATATATAATATATAAATAATTATACATATATATATTTATTTATATTTATATACACTTTTCACACACACATATATATATATATATATACATACACACACAAAAATGAAGTCAAACAGTGAAAAGAAAACAAAACTAATGATTTTTTTTTTTTTTTTAAATAAATTTCATTAACTATTTACAAAAACTTTGCACATTATTCAGAAATCAAATTCTTCACATCTTTATGTAAGGGTTGTAAAAGGTTCTTATCCATTCTCTAGGATTTTCCAATCAGAGTTAGCATCTGAATTTTAGGTCAATATCCAACAGATATTATATCTGAATTGTCAAGAGTCAAACCATTTGGATTCACTGCAATTTTATTTATTACAATGATAGTTTGTTCTCCCTTAAATACTGAAAAATAAAAAAAATCACAAAATTAAAAATACATACACATACATACATACATAATGTAAGCAAACTTCTAAAAATCAAGAACTTTTACAATAGTATCCAAATAATATTAGAGATTGAAATCTATTTCCCATCTTTGTGATAGGGCTATGAAATTACTTATGTGCTACTCATCTGTATATCAATATACAGGTAAATTAATTCTACTTGATTATTAATAAATTGCTAATCTTATGGATAATGTCAGTAAGAAATTCTGACAGGCACAATGATCAATATCAATGTTTACTAAGCTTATAAAAAGAAAAATACTTATTCTAAGTTTTCTCCTAAATCAAATAATACAGGTCATTTATGTTGGAATTTTTGAGATGTAGAATTGTTTTGTCATGCTATTTGGACCAACATACTCAACTTGTTATACACATATTTCAGCTATTGTAGCAGATGCTTGTTGTTATAAATTGGAAACTTTGTTGGTATTTTGAACCAAGCCTTCATTTAATTCACAGGGATTCTCATTCCACTTTCCCAGCTTAGAGGAGATAACTCATATCAGTTAATACTCACCAGTCTTATTCACTTTTGTGTTGCTTGCCAGTTTCTTCAAGCACTACAGCTAAGGAAATAGTTTTAAGCACACTTTAATCATCCAGGCTATGTGTCTCTAAACCTGGAAAGTGGAAAAAAGAACAGTCTACTCCTGTAGATTGAATAAAGTGTTCAGTTCCATTTCTTCCACTGAACCTGAGATTGCAACTTTTCAGTATTACCAGACCCATGAATTGAACTCACAGCTGTCAAGGAATGGTAAATAATTTTAGTTCATGTATCCAGTGGTGTAATTTCAGAAGCTTATGCCTACTGCTTGTATTCTCCCAAACCAATCCTATTCAGAAAACAAGAACAATTAAAAAAAATTATGGGTATTCTATCCCATGAAATTGTGGCAAGTAATACAAAAAAGAGACCAGCCATGAGAGCAGAGGTACATTAGCAGTCTTTTGTCCGGGGAGAGACATAAAATTCAAGCATGGTTGACCATTATATATATAAAGGGAAGGAAATGGATGATCTCCAACCCCTGTGGAAAAATGTCAAAATAATAAAATTTATTTCCAAATTTGTAAGGAAAGCATTTTGAAACATAACATTTTGTTTACTTTTTTCTATTATGTCTATATTTCTTTTTTTTTGTTTACTTTTTTTTCTATTATGTCTATATTTCTGAGATGAGGTATTATGTACACTATTTACATTATTCAGACTATTGTCCTCATCTTTGTTGCCATATTTATCACTAAATAAATATGGCAATAAAGATGAGGACAACAGTCTGAATAATGTAAATAGTGATTCAGTATAGTCAGTTTCTTCCTCTTATTTATCTTCCAAACATATCTACAACAATAATTTAAAAAAGTCTCATATATATTTGATGGTAATTTTCTTATTTTATTGAACAGAATTTAAACAAAAATTATAATAACAGTAATGAATAATAAGTGGTACATTTAATGACAAGCTATTTATTCTGGCATGTGTTTATGTATGTTTCTATATGTATATATGGTATTGTGGCCTGTATATCCTCTTAAAGCAAAAACCAGGGCAAGAGTAACCCTGGTTGCTTCCAAGCCACTAACCTTCAAGAGAAGGACCATTCTAAAATAACCCTACACATATTTTCAGTAGTCTTCCTCAAAGTGCCAGAAATAGAAATTGTACTGGATGTTTAAAATCCATGACAATAACATTCAATACTTGAAACTATTTTTTTTAATTTGTAATTCTATTATTCATCATTTAAATAGAAATTATGATAATAGTAAGAATAAGTGGGCCATTTGACAACAAAGTCTTTGTGCAGTGTAAAATATACGTGTGTGTATGTTCTTTGTCCAGTGTAAAATATACGTGTGTGTATGTTCTTTGTCCAGTGTAAAATATACGTGTGTGTATGTTCTTTGTCCAGTGTAAAATATACGTGTGTGTATGTTCTTTGTCCAGTGTAAAATATACGTGTGTGTATGTTCTTTGTCCAGTGTAAAATATACGTGTGTGTATGTTCTTTGTCCAGTGTAAAATATACGTGTGTGTATGTTCTTTGTGCAGTGTAAAATATACGTGTGTGTATGTTCTTTGTCCAGTGTAAAATATACGTGTGTGTATGCATGTATGTATGTATGTATGTATATATATTTAAACTTTTAATGATCTAATTTTATGTTCATATTACTTTGATTTAAATTCTTAGGATGACCTTAAAAAGCTATAAAATTTGGTAATTCCCTTTGGCCAGGAAGGGGACCAGAGCCTAATTTGGCAACCTTCATAGAGGTGAGGCCACATTATGCTTTAGTCTTAGCCGCCAGGCCAGTTTGTATTGCCATAGATGATAGTGATAATTATTTTGGCCTTTTTATTCTTAAAATAAGTATTATGACCGATACAATGAAAAGAAATACGTGTAAACCGGTAAACCACAAAATCACCCCCCAACCTTTCTTTCTTCAATATTTGTGACATTTGTTCTAATTTCTGCAGTGTTGAATTTTTCTCTTGAAACAGTCTCCAGATGTCTTTGCACTTTGTGAAACTAATTTAAATTCTTCTATTGCTACCAATGAATTCTCTGTTCCAGGCTATCTTACTTTTTGCTAGAAAGTTTCTAGCATACATATGCATATCCTCCATATTTATATTTTGGAAAATTTCCCAGTTGCAAGGGAAGTGTCTCAAGTCCCCAGAGGATTCTTTCATGTCCTTTTAAGTTTTGTTATTGCACTCTGTTAGCTATCTCTTTTTCATTTATCACTCTTTCTTCTCAGGACTGTTATATATATAAAAAAATTTCTGGTAATATAGAAATTGCTTTCTCTACATCCATCTGCAAATATTTTTGTGTTTAGTGATTTTAATGCTCATCACATCAAGTAGCTTAAGCATTCTAATGTTACTGATGTTGCCGATATATAGACTTTCAATTTTTCCATTGCTCAGTCACTCAGTCAAATAGTGGATTTGCTTACCCATTTCCCTAATAAATCTGTTCAACAGTCATCTTTATTTGATTTGTTCTTTACTTCCTCTCTTAGCTGTTGTACAGCATCATAACTTTGTCCTCTCAGTAATTCAGTTCCTGTTGTAGTATCTATTGATATTTCTTTTGGGTTGTCTATTAGAAAGGAACCTCCTATTCACAAGACTTCTTTCTGTTACTGGCATTACTGATTAGGATTAATTTCGTAACTTATTTAAGATGCCCCTTGGATTGATATTCTTAAACTTCATATTGCCACAGAGGTTTCTTCTTGATGCTTTTGTACCTTCTTTCAAATACCAGGTGAAACCACAATCTTCTCCTTGGTTCTCACCAGCCTGTTCAGCTGCTACAGCCCATAGGAATTACTTTTTCCAAGTGTACCAGTGTGATAATTTTGAACACAACAGATGCCTGTTTATGACTGCTTGAAATAATTATAAACATATTCTCAAAGTCTTTAAGTCTTTATTTGCAGATGGAATGAGGTACCATATAGCCTCTAACAAGTTTGGTTCACATGATTACTGGTGGCTCTGTAATAGTGTGATAAGAATAAGTCTTCTATTCCTCCTCTCTTCACTTAATCTGAGGTGTTAACATTTTTTGCTGATGAAGCAGAATGATTTGCTTGTAACTTCTCTTTGTCTGGCTTTCCACTTAGAACTGAGTCTCTATTGAGGGATATGCATATAATTCCATCCATAGTTTCTGCTATCATTTCTAAAGTGGATCCTCACAAAGCATGTGAACTTTATGGTATCTCTGACAATAATCCTTAAGAAATGTGCTCCTGAACTATCTCATGTTCTCTCTAAACTCTACAATAAATGCCTTGCTTCTTCTTGCTTTCCTGCTTGTTGGAAATCCTCTTCTGTTGTTCCAGTCTTTAAGAATTCAGGCAAACCATCTGATTCTTCTACTGCCTTCTACCTCTTTTTGGCAAAGAACTAGAGGCTCTAATTAACTTTGAATTGGTTAAGCATCACACATTGCAGGGTCTTCTTTCAGATAAGCAATATGGCTTTTGCTTCTCTAGGTCAACTGCTATTGCTGAAAGAAGTTATCAAGCTTTAAGTTGGATAACAAGGCATATGATAATAATAATAATAATAAAAAAGGTCATTTGATTTGGGCCATAGTAACATTGTTATTAAGTTATATGATAGAAGCAGATAATGGTAGTTACTGCCACTGTAAATACCCAAACTTAATTATAGTTCAAACTTTTAACAATTATGGGTACATTTGAAATATCTTCAATCTACAGTGTGTATGTGGAATGATGAAAAGCATTACTCCCTCACTGTGGATAGACCAGCTGCTGACCACAGGTCAAATCACATCTACATTCAATGCAGGAGGTACTAGATTCATATCCAGCTGATTAGTTCAGTGTTCTTTAACTTTCATGAGATATGAAAACCAGAAGACCACACGCTCCTCAACTGGGCTTGTGACTTTGCTAATTGGATCTTCTATGGTCCAAGGATTCTAAAGATTGGCAATGTGTGGCCTTGTCTAATGAGAAGGTCTGGATTTGACACTACCATGCAGGCTTGTTATATTTATAATAGTTTAGAGTATGTTCATATGGCATAAGTTGGGTTTGCTGGTCTGCTAGAACACCTCATTGACCATATACTGTACTGTTTTATGACCATTTGCACACATTCATGGATTCTATATAGCATAACAATGATGGCTTATTCCAACAAGTTAATGCATCATACTAATGAGCCCAAGTTGTTCAGAATTAGTTTGAAGAGTATTCCAATGAAATGTATGGTTACTACATTCTTTTGACATAAACCAGTCAAATATTTATGGAATGTGGTGAAGTAGTCTCTTCACATGCAGGATCTGGCACACACAAGTATCAGAGATGTGAACAGCTATTGAGATGCCAGAGGTCCCCCAATCACTTGTAGAATCAATGCTATATAAAGTTGATGCATTTTGCCAGGCTAGAAGGGTCCTACACAATATTACCCATGTCTTTTGGCACACTAGTGTATTTAACCGTAGTTTCGAGTTTTCTGTGCTTAATCTAAAAAGAGAAAAATTACAAAAATATTTTTTTTCAAAATCACATTCCCTACAGAATTAATATTATTGATAAGTAATAGATTTGGAGGAGGGGATTTATTTGAGATTAAAAAATATCAGCTTTTGTTGGTGGAAATAGAAGAGAAAATTGATGCCAGATTCAAATTGTCAGTTCAAATATGTGAGAACATGCTGATGGCTTATTCAAATTTTCATTCTTTCACAAAGTGACTATATATAACTAATAAATTCTTTTTAATATGCTGTGTCTCCTCAGAATGTGGGCAATCATGGCTCTAAGCAATGCTTGACTATTTACCATCCTTCTTTGTACTCATTGACAAAAACTTGTTCTTCCCCACCCTCGTTTTCAGTATGTCCTGTGAGTGTTAAATTTTATAATCCCTCTTTTCTCATGGGTCCTAGAAATTTCCACTCTTTTTGATTTTAAGAGTAAGTGTTTTTCTAGTTACCACTTCATTAAAACTTCCTTGGTACCCATTTTTTCAGTTCATGTTAAATTCTCCAAGCCTTCTTTTCTCACTGTGTACCAAACATTTTAACTGTTTCTGGTAGCAACAATTTGTTTGTACTTCTTCATTTCTCACATGTTCAGTCGATGGTATTCTCAGCATTTATCAGCAGAACCATATCTATATCTATTCATCATCTGTGAGGAGAGTGTCCAAAAAATATAATGAACATTTGTATGAGGGATATGCTGAAAATTCTCAAACTGGCCCACTTCCCAAAGTCTAGTCAAACGATCAAACATCAGAATGCTTCTAGAATCCCTTCTTGGTAGAGCTGAGAACTTTTCAGTACTTCTTCATATATATCTGTGAATAAGTCTTTGATGAAAAAAAATTCAAAAATAAGACAGAATTACAAGAACTTTACATAATATTTTTTTCTTTTAGAATTGCTTATTTTAAAGAAAAAAAATGTATCAAAAGTACTGTAAATATTAATGACACTACAATGATCTAAATCACACATTCAGAATAAGCTAACATAACCAACATAATGTAAAAATTGTAGTAAGCTAATATAAAGCATAAGCTGGGATTTATATATTTTCTAGATGTAGAAGTCAGTTTGGGAGCATTTAGATTAATTCAAGGAATATATTTACACAATTTGCAACAAATTTAGAATGAGTTTTTTGGATTCTTTTATAAGATCAGGTTAGTTTCCAAAGAAATAGTCAAATTATTTTTTTACTTTATGACCACAGAATCAGCAGAAAATTAGAACAGATTTTTTTTATTTTAACATTAAACAATCACAGCAAAAAGAATTGAGCAACTTACATTTGAATTTCCTGTCGTTTTTACGAGGTCTGTAAGTCAGATATGGCTTTGAGTGGGTTAATGTTTTCTCTATCACTGTTGCTTCGACATTGACTAATGTTCGACTAAGAAAAAAAAAAAATAGTAAAAATGCGGTACAAAAACTTTAAACTATTAAATTTTGACAATTATAATAAACTAGCCATTTATGTTTTTAAACAAAAACATGAAACTCATTCACTTTAAAGGTTATACACAGTTTAATGATATTAAGGCATGGTAATATTGTGTCATGGAGATATATCATCTATGTATCTAAAATAAGAAGTTATTTGGGATAAAAGGGCTACTTTCAAGAAACTCTAAAAAAGAAACAAGATAAAATGCCATTGTAAATAAAAAATTTTGTTTATAAGGTTGCTGTTGAATGCAAAAAAATCACTGATTAGTAATGAATTTGCACATTTTTATGACCTTATGTGTGGGGAAATGGAATTTTTTTTTGATTTTGTTAAGTGTGGTTTGAGTAAATTAAGCATTTGTTTGCAGGAACATTTATATACAAAGATTTTATATTGAAATTGGCCATACATTTGTCTTTTATAATCTATTAATATCTCCTACATTTTTTTAAGTGTAAGGAACTAATTAGACCAAGTAGTGGGATTAAAATTTTGGCTAATATGCCGGCAAGTTTATGTGGGTTGCTACCTATTCCTGATATTTTACCTGGTTTATGTATTTTTGACAAGCCATAAAGTGTGGGTGTTTTCAAATGATGTTCACTTAGAAGAAAGGTCTTCATTTTTTATTATCAAATACTAAAAACCTAAAAAAAAAAAAAAAAACTAAAAAACAAACAAAAAAAAAAAAAAAAACAAGTAAATGCTGAAATGTACATTTAGAATTTGATGAGACACCAAATATCAATAATTAAAAAATATGACCACTTAATATTTATCTTGATATGGAAAATATTAACTACAGATACAGAATTTAGAAACGGTACATCTTTAAAGGCTTTACAATAAATATTCTGAGCATTATTTTTTTGTTTACACATTCTTAAAAAAGTGTATTCAAACAAATTTAGATAAGTTTTAAAAAGGTCAGGTGCCAAAAGTTATGCTCAATATGAGTAATTTTTAAAAAACTATTTATGTGTGAGTATATATAAAGAAGCTAAAAATAATGAAAATCATGTTTTGTAAATTGTTTAAAAACTTTACATAATCCAAAACAATCAGATTTATTTGAACAAATGAAAAGTCATCACACATTTGGCATTAAAAGTGAGATTTGATGATTAAACACCAAATTATGCAATCTAATATAATAAAGTAACTCTCTGTCCACTATGGATTAGATGAATTTAAACCAAACTTGACATACAGGTAGGTGCAAGTGCCTGAGACTAGTTAAAGTTGACCTAGGTCAACCATGAAGGTCAAAAATAAGGTAAAAATGCCATTAATAATTTTTTTTAAAGTTGACATATGAAAAGTTTTTAAATTTTGGATCATGAATGAGAATTTATTCTCAGGAATATTGAAAACATACATAACATTATTTCACAGACAAAATTTAATATTTCAATTTTCAAAATGCTTTTTACAATATTTTTAAAATGTTAAAAACTATTTTTAAAATAAAGTAAAAGTACATTTATTTTTTTTAATAATCACATAATTCTCTTAAGTGTTTCTTTATAATAATTGTATTTTTTTAATAATTACAAAATTTATTAATTAGGGATGTTGTTGTGAGGTAGAGGCCTCTGTAATACATCACCCCTCCACACCCTAACCATTTTTATAATCCTTTTCTAACTTTCCTATTAAGATGTTTCCTTAAATGTTTCACTTTAATTTAATTATGATTTTTCCATTACTGTATAAAGTTCTTTTTGAAAGACAGACGGTGGGGGGGTCGGACTGCAGGATCCATCACTGTTACACTTAGTTTCCTCATACTCAGAAAGCAATATTGAAAATTCAATTCAATAACAGGCTTACTTGCTTTTACTTTATTTCCATTTTAAAAGGGTCTTCTGTACCAAATTCATACAAAAGACTATTGATTTAAATCTACATAACATTCTGTATGTCTGAATAAACTATGAATATTAATAAATATGCCTAACCTTGATCAAATAATAAAGCTTAAAGATTGTTGAAAATTTTATGCAATATGATAGATACAATGAGTAATTTAAAAGTAGATTAAAATAAAATATTATTTTTAAAAGGAACAAACATGAAATTTTATAAAATAACTTTTTTTGACTACCTCATCTTTGTCATTTAGATTAAGCCAAGATTGCCTAGTTCATCATAACCATCCAAAATTTGAGTTGTCCTCACTCACCTTAAAAGTGGTTTTCCAATTAATGTGAAATCTTTACTACCAACTAAAAGAACCTGTTGAAATAATTATAAAATATGGTAAAATAATAAGAAAAATATTGAAAAACAATGTTAAATAAAAAGGTCAATCAAAATGCCTGCTCTAATTTAATTTTAAAAGTATTAGAAAGCCTTTCTTAACTATAAAATATAAAGTGCCTAGAAGTCCAAAGAAAAGATTTGAGAAGTTATATTCTATTTTTGCAAACATAAATCTTTTTTAAAATAGCTGCCGTCCTGTGGATATACATAAAAAGCAAAGAGCTTTCATAGAATTTTTGTTTTGTAAGGAAAAAGCACTGTAATCATTTACAGAAAGTGAATATTTCTGAAAAAAATGAACTTGATTTAAGCACAATAATGGCAAACCCAGAGAGAAAAATGACAAACTGACCTTTGTGAGTGTCTCCACATGGCATGGCAGATGCTGCTGTCAATGTTCATTACAGGTGACAAAAAAATTACTATTATGAATGTGTAAAAGCCATGGTAGTTTAATGCAGTTTCTTGGTTAAATAAGACTTGCGCAAAGTGGGTTCCCAGAATTTTGACAGACTTCTTAAAGAAGCAGGAAGTATTTGGTGCTTCTAGAGTCCTGACCTGGCATTTTCATTTTCACGAAAAAGGATAGTTGTCTACTGGTGATGAATCGAAACAATTTGCTCATGGCTAAGAAAGCAGGCAAGAGCCTTCTTTTACAAGGTGGATATACAAGCTTTCATTCAAAAATAAATATCATGAGTGAGAAGGAAGAAAATTATACTAAGGAATAGATTTGGAATCCTGAAACATTTGTGCCATTTTAATATGCTTTGTATGCTTCTACTATTAAGTGTTATGCTTAAAAAACAGGAATTATCTTTTGACTGACCCTCATAAACTTAAAATAATGTAAAAACAAGTTGAAGGATCAACTTTGTTAAAGTTAAATTGGACAATTTAATCTGGGTGTAGAGATACAAAAGGTGATTATCTCTCTTTAGTGGAAATGAAGTCATGTGATAGCTTCAAGGAATCAGAGTAGTAGCTTTCTTAGCTTGAGCCTCTTGACCCTGGTTGAGGCTAAATCTGCCCCAGCCACATGGAGCATCTTACAAGCCTATGGCTCCAAATTCCTATGGAAATGGATCTTCATCAGATATAGAAAATATCTCCGGCTTGCAGGCCTCATGTTGGAAAAACCCCAAGACTTGCTCTTTCCCATTTACATCCAGCCCACTTGAATTTGGAACCCTAAATATGGTCTCTTCTGAAATACAGAAAAATCTCTGTCAGACTAAATTCCCATTGGGAATTGTTACATGTAAGACTATCTTTTTGTTCTGTCACTTTGCTTGTTGTTGCATATGTGTTATATTTTCTGTGTGGGACATGTGTAAATATTTACATATAATTTTGTGCATGACTTAGTGGCATAAAACTCTGAGAACAAAACAGGTTTGTCATTCCTTTTTCTTTCAGTCATTCTGTTCCATCCATAAGATATGGTATTATTATATTATAGACATAATAATACTCATAATGGGTGAAATGCAAATTGGAGAATAAACCTTTCTTCCATAGCACACACATCATCTGGGTCAAACTGACATAACATGCTATTATTTAACTTCATGAACTAATGACCACAACATTATATTATTAACCTCTGTTATTTGGTGACTTACCCAACATGTGATATTATTTATCCTCATTATGGGTATAAATTTAAATTTTATTGATTGCTGTTTTATTGATGTTCATTTACAGAAAAAAATGATCAAATGTGAAGGTTTTTATTCAGTGTTCAATCAGCCATTGCTCAATATCCAGTTTACCATGTATTACAAAAAACAGAAAGTTTTTTTTTTTTTCAAAGCTAATATCATTGTAACCAGCATTTGAAACATTGGTACTTTTAACAATCAGTCAATAGCTAAAACAATTTTGAAAGTGTACAGCCAATTCAAGTATGGAAAGTTCTGAGCAAGCTAGACTGTCAGACAATATACCATTAATAGATCCCAACACACCAAAAAAGTAAAAAAAAAAAAAGATGAAGAGTGGTGAAAGTTTTACCTTTTCTAATCGTATTCTTTCACCTATGTTTGGAGGAAAAGACCCATGCACAATGACTAAATCCTCTGTTGTGACTTTTCTCTGCAAACCTCTGATATGTACCACAGCAAAAAGCCGGCCAATATCTCCTTTTATCATTTCCTCCGACACTTGAGCTATTAGCTCTAAAATTAAAAAAATAAAAGATAAAATAATATCTAGACAAAAATTTTGTTTTTTGAAATACTTTACAAAAAAAAAAATCAGAAAAATTTATTAAATATTCAAAAAAAATAAAAATAAAACATTTACAAAAGTAAAATACATTTTTAGAAAATAATATCAGGAATGTTTAAAGTGAAAAAAAATTTTAAATGCTTGTTTCTTTGGAGTAAAATTGTAATTTGCACATTTTTAAAAATTTTGATTTTAATTACAAGAAACAAAGAATAAAACTATGATTGTTAAGTATTCCTAATATTTAATTGGATTACATATACAATATCTTTGCTAATAAGAGATCCTTTTACTATCCTAATTCTTTCTGATACAATTGAATTTTCAAATTCATTTTTCAATTGCTTTTTTTTTTTATCTTTGAACAAAAACTAAGTGACTGCAGCAGATGCATCTGGTACTGATACAACTATACTGCAGGCAAAATTAATCACAGGGCTACAACTGCTTTTCTACCTGACCACCTCATAAATGAAGTGGTCAGGTGGAAAAGTGAATTAATGTCTTTCCCAATTGTATCAGTGCTATAAATGGCTTCATAAACAAACTTGAAGCCTGTACATTGACTCAATTGTGACAAGATCATTTTCAGCCACCAAAAGCAAACAAAACAGACACCAACCAAACACTCTCTAGCTTCCAGGCATGAACCATATGGTGCAGGATGGTTTTAGCAGTTGTACATGGTCGTTTTCTCATCTGGTGTACCCGGCAAGCCAAATATGTGCAAATGTCTCGGTTTTGGTCCATCTCATGCTCTCTGAAATTAATCCATTTTTTACAGTGATTACCTAGCGGTTTGTTGTGTCTCCCACAAAGGGGTTATTAACTTCCTCCAGGAGTGTGGTAACTTGTTTCTTGTGAGATCCTAATGCTGGTCCTCAACATCGAAAATAGGCAGAAGATATCTTCATGACAAAGTACCACTGCAGAAAATCTAACAATTGATAGGAAATATTACAAAAAAAAATATTCTCTCCACATCTAGGTAGCAGAATGGTGATTTGAGTAATTTGGCATTTTTTATCGCATCAATTCTCTCCCTGCTTGCTATTGAAAATTGTAATAGTAGTAGTAGCAGCAGCAGCAGCCAGTCTCACAGCAAGTCTGCCAAAATTGCATTCCTTTGTGCTTTTGTGTCCACTCCATCCACAGGATACATGTGTACTCTTGTGTTTGAGCAGCGAAGATTTTCTTAGCATGTTGTTTTGAGATCTTTCTGGTGAGTCTTGATGCCAAATACTTCAGTTTATAAGCAATTTCTCCTGTATGCTCCGCTTACCATTTTGACAGTGATATTTCAGCTCAAAAATTCAAGCAAATATTTTTCCTTATGAGAAAGAGAGAGACCTGACCACCCATGAGAAATTCCAAAATGAATGACTTTTCACCAAATTCATTTAGGGTTCAACTCTCTGATTTTTTCATCATCTTTATTTTATATATTTAATGGACTTTAATTCTCAGTTTCTTTTCCCATTTTCCTCCTAATTATTTAAGATATCCTTCAGAGAGTTTTCATGAATTATTTCTAATTTTTAATCACTTCAAATCACCATTTTTCATTCTCATGCAACATCAAACCAGGGCCAGCACCTTGTTACAGTGCAAAGTGAATGCAAACTAACCCAGTTGGAATATGAACTACTATCACCAATACCATTTTCTGTGTTATTATTAACCATTAGGCATCTCTTATTTATTTTAGTTAATGCAAATATCTATCTATATATATGATTTTTATGTTTTAATGCTTAAATTCCTAGGAAAGTAAATTAAAGATGACAAATGTTAATCCATTGATTAATTAATGATTAGAAAAGGATAAACCTGTAATTTTTTTAAAATCCCCCTAAGCAAGGTGATAATGCCACTAAGACACAAGGGATTAATGGGAATGAAAGAAGAATGAGAAAACTCTAGAACGAACCAGAAACACAATCCTAAAAAGGAAATCAGGGATAAACTTCTATTCCTGTTCAAAAGACTGGGGTGTGGCATGAACCAGACAGTATCTATCTACTCCTATTGAAGGAAAAAAAATAGTAAATAAAATTTCAGAGTTTAGGCAGAGACATTAGAAATATAAAATTGAAGTAAACTTTAGAATACTTAACAAAATTGTACATTGTAAGCAATTAAAGCTTAACCAAAGTAAGAGAATAAAAAGCAAAAACCAGAACTCTAATGATATATATAAGGTATTACAGTTTTGCAATGCAACCTTGGTGACAAAGAGCCAACATTATTTTCAGTTTTTTTTTTTAATGTTTTTCTTAATTTCTTTGTCTATGACTATTTTTCACCACCTCTCTTAGTCCACAAGAAAATTATTTGCATGCACAAAAATAATTTGTATATGTACAGTATACATATCACTTAATCTACCCACCAAATTAAGTTACAACAATATTTACCAATTTATTTTTGGTTCATATTTTTCTGTATACTTATAATGTATGTAATTTTCCAGTTTTCCAAAACACATCCACTCGGCAACATTAATCCTGATTCTAGTGGAATGGAAAGTGCTGAATGCCAAACTTTCAATAAGATTATCATCAAAATATAAGCACAATTCCTATTTAGACATTTACAGCTCTATGTTACTCTTTTTCTACAGACAAGATAAACTAAAACAATTCAGCAAAAAATGGCCAGATTGGAAAAAAAAAAAAAAAAAAGGAATATTTTTCTTAAAGTGTATTTTCATTTGGAAAGTTGTTGAAAATTAAAAACAGTGCATTGATAAAACTGCAACTAATTTTGTTTTTATTATCAAAATATGTGAATTATTTTGTATTCTCCAACTTAAGTTTCTAAAAATTTTATTAGTAATAAATAAAGCCATACATATGAGACTCAGTTAAAATATCTCTCCTTTGTTTTTGTTTTTTTACTAAAAAGTTCACCCAATATAAGGCCCAAGAGCCACTCAAAAGAGGGTTACTGAGTAAGTCATGTCAGAACAGCTGACAGGCAATCAATGAATTCATTATGATGTATGATTACTTACTTTCATTCTCAACTTCATTCAAAATTGTGGGTGTTCCTTTGTTTATCAATGGTTTTATCTTGCCTAGTTGCCATCCTCTGCAAAAAAAAAGTTTTCAAAATGAAATAAATCATCATAAACAAATAAGAAATCAAAGAGTTCCACAATAATTAAATAGATGTCATTTTATTTTTCAACCACAAGATAACAGTTTCCATTTAATTCTCTCAATAAGTAACATTTCCAATCATCAAAATCTATAGATGGACAGATGATATAAGGTTAAATCTCATAATGTATATAGATATTACACACACAAAGATTGCTCTGACAGTAATACCTCCTATTTTAATGTTGGCCCACATATCATTAGAAGTTGGTGGTATAATAATAGAGAGTGAACCTTCATACCATACCAATAACGTTTACAGAGACCAAAAAGTGGATGTGAATAATGCGTTTTAGCAGGAATAACCATGATGCATGTGAACAAGTGGGTCAGCTCTGTTAGCACAGATTTTTACGAGTGCAGGATGCAGACTCTTATTTACTGTTGGTGAAATAGACAATGGTGGTGATTATGTGGAATGATAGTGTTTTGTAGCTGAAAACTTGCTTAGTTTCTCTCTTAGTTTCTATAGAAATAAATAGGATTGTCCTTCATACATATATTGCATAGATATTTGATCCTTTTGAGGATTTTTGCCTTTTATAATTTCATTTAAATTTTTGGAGATTCATATAAACTATTGAAAGTTTTACTTTCAACACCAAACTGCATTTTGCATTTAAAAATTTGAAAATATATTTAAATAATCCATTTTTATATAAGAAGCCCTGTAATGTGAATCATAATTGAGAACATGTTAGACTGAAGAAATCATGATTAATATGCATAAAAATAGAATTGTTTCAATAATGTGCATATTAGAAATTTAAGATAAAATGAGGCAGCCTAATATAAACCCACAGCAAACAAAAATTCTCAGAAAGAACATGTAATCTTTATTTTGTCTGATAGAACCAAGTTCATTTCAATACAATAAAAAATACCTAAAAATTAATAAATCTGTTTATTCTCCAAGCAATACACAAACTTGCTTTCCTACTTTAAAACCATCATCTAAACACGAGTAGTATAATTTAGACGTTAGGGGATTGTGACACCGAGCTGTTAGCCCATGGTCAACTCCCAGTCGCAGCGCGAAACTAATGTTTCTCCCACCAGCGTTTTGGGGTTGACTGCCACCATTGAATGCAAGCTCCTTGGGCTCTTCACATTCACAAGCTTGTTTCCAGCTCTGTTTGCATCAAATATTATCATAAATGATCCATTTTTCATCACCTGTGACAGTTCTGTCCAAGGATGATTCCTTTATGTGGTGTAGCAGCAAAGAAATTGTTGCAGAAACAATTGAATTTGTTCTGTCAGAGAATTTAGCACCACATGTCAAATTTGAAAATGAACCCAAATCTCTTCAAATGGCAAAAGGAAAATGAGATATTGATTTTAAAAATTTTCAATTTATTCTCAACAATGACAAGCAGAGCATCTTCATCAACACTGGAAGTTTTCCCAGAGTATGATTGATCATTTTTACCATTTGAAGGGTTGAAACACTATCCAAATAAACTTTCTGAATGTTTTTTTGTTGCAGTTTTGACGCTTAGTCCTTTTTAAAATTTATCAAGCACAATATAGCAAAAGTGCAACTTTTCATCCTCTATCTTTAACGTATTCAAAACGTCAACATTTGGCAAAGTCTAACTCGCAACTGAAAGATGCAAGGTTTCAATCTAGACCACACCGGACACTGGCCCCAAAACAAACACTAGTATCAAGTTGCGGTTATTTTGTATTAACAATGAAAATCGGACACAAACATTTGCAATGCTTTCAAACATAATGTAGCAGTCAGCTTGTTTTCAGCTTTTATTAAGTCAAAATTATATCCTTTAAATTTCAGCCAATTTCTAAATTATTAAATTTCAATCCATGTAGATATGATACTTGTAATTGACTAAGTGTAACTTAGATGTGACACAAAGCTGCAAGTAGAGGGCATCCAGTGAGAACTAAACTCACTACTCAAAAAAAACATAAATCCCAATCTCTTTTCATCTACAGTGTAACCCGGATATAAGAGAGATTTTCTCTGGTCCCAAATTAGAGCCTGTGTTAATGTATATAAAATAGACCAAACCCGGATATAAGAAACTTCTTCTCCGGTCCCGACAACTCTCTTATATCTGGGTTACACTGTATTTCACTTAGTCCTTCTAAAAGACTTGTCACTATACACTACAAGAAATGGAATCCTGTAAACTTTTAACTTACTAATTGCTAATTATATTCCCAAATATGAATTTCTGAAATGAGTGATGACTTATTTAGTTTCAGATAGAAGAATTTCACTCACCGAGAACGGAACCGACACTGAAGAGTAAATCTGGAACAGCTCCCAAGAACTGGAGTTTGTGAAGGTAAAACTGAAATAAATTTTATAAAATATAAACTTTTCTACAAAAAGTTTTTTTTTTTATAAAACATATGAAGTGTAAATTATTCAGTATTTTTATAAATTTTTCTTTTTTCTTATTGTAGTGTCTTTTTCCTCACCAAACAAATCTCAACATTAAATTTTTATGACTAGAAAAGAAAAAAAAGAAATCAGGCTGAATAAGTAAAATATACAGGAGATAATTATTATGTAATGCAATTTGTTGTTTTGTTTTTTTATAAATCACAAAAAATTATACTCCTCACCGTGAATTTAACTAACTCAGAATAAAAAGAAAATTGATATTTTGATATGCTTTTTAAACTTGAAATTCATTTATAAATTGTTTCATTAAAATTGCTCTTTAGTCTTTATATTACAACCAAGGCCATGCCTATAACAAGCCAGGCGATCATGCAGCTGGGGGTCTCTTACTGAGGGCGATGTGAATTTTCTTAAATAATCAATATAGCAGTTGCAAACAGGGAAAAATTGCCCTGTGAGATTAGTTTGATGATTTTATGTGTTTTACATACCCAAACAAGAACCACAATGAGCTAACTGGTAAATTTGACGATTATTCCTATAATGAAGGAAGAGTCAGGTAAGGAAGGTTGAATAAACAAATGCATCAAGGAGTGATTTTTATTTCCAATTGGCTTTTTTTTTCTTCTTTTTTTTTTTTAAAGAGAATTTGTACTTGTATCAAAAGGGTGCTCGGTAAAAATGGCAAAAGTGGATAAATAGGAAAAAATGGCAATTCGACAACAGAAAATTATGACCGTTCGAGAAGGATGGCTCTAAGCTCCAATCCCTCTAGTTTAAAATAGGGCTAAGTCCCCACCCCTCAATATTTTAAAATAAATATTTTTTAAATAGATAGTGGTGGGGAGCTAGGCTCATTCTCCTCGTTTTAAATAGGGGCTAAGTTCCCGCTCCTAGTATTAAAAACATTTTTTTAAATTTTCGATGTCCCGACTTTTAGAAGTTTTATGGGGGGGCGCTAGGTTCCTACTCCTAATTGCAGTAAAAGCACAAACCGTAGCGTGTGAATTTGATGACTATAATTTTATAATTGATAGCGGGCATTAGGATTAGATGTATGTATATATATTAGTGTTGGGACGATTAATCGGAATCGGAAAAATCGCAAAGGCGAAGGTTAGGAATTCCATTCACAGATTTCGTATTGACTCTCAGAGTCTAATTTAAGTATTTTATTGGTAAATTATGGTAAACGAAGTAAATATTGTAAAGTTCACTTAGCCTATTCCCTCAGCAAACCTTTTGAATTTCTGTTCACACTTATTTGCTAAATGTCGATATGACGCTTCTCAGAGACTTCACACTCGAGTATTAAAAGATTGAAAACGCATCAGACAAGATTTTAAATTTTACTGGCACCAGTCTGACCCTGTCGTTGTCTGATAACCTCTGAAATAATTAATGTTTTATTGTTTTGTTTTTTTTGTTGTTGTTGTTGTTGTTGTTTCCGGTTTCATCAATTGTTTTTTTTTCCCAAGTTTTTCAGTGTGTTCAGATGTAATCGCCTAAAAAAAAGTAAAATCTCATGGGAGGGGGGAGCTTTAACTGAATATTCTTTTTAATTTGACAAACAGAAACTTCTCTCATGTTTTTCCATTATGTATTTTAAAACTCATTGTGAGATATTCATCTATAATTTTTTTCCTTTTGCCATTTTTTCTTATCCATTTTTACCTATTTATCCACTTTTGCCATTTTTACCTAAATTCGTATCAAAAGATCATGACTTGTATATTGTGATTAAAAAAAAAAAAAAACAGAATCTAACCAGTAGAAGCACAACCAAAAATTTAAACTACCCTCATTTTGATTGTTTTCAACACATTTTGGCTATAGTCATCATTTCACATCATAAAATAATCCAAAAACAAAGTTCAAACTAAAATTTCAGCATCCAAATCTCTAGTGTCGTCTTGTAGTCGATAAAACTAAGCAAACAAATTCACTGAATAGTTGACAACATTTTTTAAACTTTCAAATATTTCTAACATATACTGTTATTATGAAGAAAAAAGTTTGCAAAAAATTATTTTGTAAAAAATTATTCTAATAAATTTCAATTCAACAAAAATTGAAAATTTATTAGTTCAGCACATTAAAACACTGAGTAATACAGAAGTTCAATAAAATTAATAATGGCGAAAAAAATAGATGTCAATAAAATTAAATTTTGACTTTTTACAGTATACTTACAAAGTTATGATAATCCAAATCTAATTTATGATAAAATACAGAACCTCAACTGAAATAATGAGTGAGAATTTCCTTTCAGAATGAATTTGCTATTTGTTGGATAAAGTCAAGAGTCAACTAACAGCAAAAAATTATCCTGTAACTGCGAAAACTTGCCCCTAGTTGCTGCAACAAAGTGTGATCACCTGTTATAGGTATGGCCTTGATTACAACCCATCATTTGAAGGACCATATCCAGATGATTTTTTTTCATGTACCCTCACAACATATTGGAAGGAAAGTACTATGGCATACATTCAGGAGTAGTTAAACATTGAGGAAGGAACACTGTAATCAACCCAAAAGAAATTTCATATTTTACAAAAATTACCATACTAAATTTAGAAATATATAAGCCTTGATGCTTTCAGATCACTTTTCTCAGAAATATAAAACAGGAGCAACTTTCATAAAGATAAATAATAATCAATAAACTTGTTTTTTTTTCTTTAAGAACAAACAAAAAGAGAGCAAGTTAAAAAACAATTTTATAATTAATTTTAAAAATTAGTCTACAAAACTCTACATTTTCATCATTGTCTATTGATTTTTAAGTTTGAAAAGGAAAAATATTTAGGTAAATCAAGAACAGCCACAATTTTAAAGAGTAAATAATTTTATGAAATTCTCATCAATTTTTTAATAAAAAAGTTTCATAAACATTTTCAACGTGTGCTCCAAGATAAATTATTGGAATATAGAGCATTACAAAGTGTGTGTACGTTTGGGAAGGGCACAGTTGCATTGCTTTTTTAGTGTACTTTTAGCTTGAAAAAAAAAAAAAAAAAAAAAAAAACACGTACAATTGAACATTACTCGCAATCCTTAAATTTTAAACTTTACAATTTTTGCTAAAAAATAAAAAACAGGAATATTTAAAATAACATTTATTTAATTAATTCTAAAACCTAATATACCATTGTGAAAAAGCGTACTTCGATGTGGTAATAATGGTTTGTTAGTAAGCTAGTTTCGGTAAATAAATTACGACTGAATAATGAATGAGTACCCCCCCCCATCTATGCTTAGAAAACTTCGACGTGGTATTGATTAGCAAGTTTGTCTTGCTAGATCAGTAATTACGACCTAAGTAGGTAGTTCGATAATTCTTTTAATTTTTTTTTTTTTTTTTTTTAAGTGATAAAAAATGCTTTTATTTTTAACGACAAGATTATGGTTTTTAGATGTCGTATTGATCCGGGGGAACGATATATATTGTTTTTAAAGCAAACAGTTTGTTTAGTGTCATTTTTTTTTTTTTTTGAACCAAGGCGCTTTTCGACCAAATCTTCTTCAGGGACCAAAAATAAATAAATAATGAACACTAAACAGTGTTTGTTTAAAACAATAATTTATGCATTGTGTGGTAGATCACTTTTTTAAGGAAATATATGACAAAGTGGAAGCCGAAAAAGTATTCGTGTGACGCATTTTGTTCTTTAGGAATTTTTAACATTTTATTAATGTATTGATCTCCCACTCATATTTTCCATTTTTATTGACTGTTGACGCTTTCTCGATTTAACGAGCGAGCGCAAAATAATTTGTGATAACGGTGATTAACTTGCAAAATGAAAATCTTTCATGTCTTATTTTTGATCGAACATTTTTATTTTGCATATCCATGTCACGAAACAACCTCTAGCGACCAGTGACATTTTTCTTAGCCAAATTTCCGGAGCAAAAACATTACTTTTTATTATTTATATTACCTTAAAAAAATATCCGCAGTATGCAGTAACTGTAAAATAGAAATTAAAAAGAATATTTTAAAGGTATTTTCTGTTTGTTTTTTTGATATTTTTCATATAAATTAATGCTAAATCAAGGACTTTAAGGGGAAAGCCGAACGGTAAAACTAAAAAAACACGAGTTTTTCTTTTAAGAAATATAAACAAAATAGCGCCTACGATACATATCATACCAACCAAAATCTTTGTCAGAAAAATATCACAAATACGATAACTAGTCTCCACTTACCGGTACCAATATACAAATTACGAAAATTCTTCCATAAACTACCCAAAGTTCTGATGGTGGCAGCCATTTTGAATAACTGAGAGATTAGTTATGCCAGATCGATTAAATTCAGCAATCGACTCGTCACGGCTTGTAATATCACGAAAGTTTTCTAAAATATTTTAAGCGATTGAATGTTGCTGAATGACACCAATTCCTTAAAACATTTTCCAATTATTTAATATCTGTTCTTAAATTTTAAACATTTTTCTTGGAAATAAAATAGTGTCAAATGTAAAGTTTGTTTTAAAAAGTTTGGGTAATTTGTTTTTAAGCCCCACGCTAAGAATCTCTAAAGATAAACAACGCCAGTAAGGAGTTCGAACTTTTATTGTCGATAACTCCAAAACGGTAGATTTTATCAAAATTTCTTTATTTTCGAATTAAGCATGTAAATTTACACCTAACAAATTCAGGAAATTTTTAATAAAAACTAAGAGCGGGGCTTAAGAAGCAAATTATCCAAAAAGTATGCATCGATGAAAATAAAGTAACTATAATGCAAGTAAAATGAACTAAAAAAAAAAAGTTTAAATTTCCAAAACTAAAATATTTCTATGGACCATCAAAATGGATACTTTTTCTCGCAATGAAAACTAAAGTCAACACTTACCTGTTTTAAAAAATATTTGCCCAAAATCAAAGAATTATCCGATTCAAACGAAATTTTCAGGACTTAATGATAATAATTTAATTAATTAATTAATTTACTTTACTGAATAATAGGTTATTTTATTAAAAATCATTCGGGAACCGGAAATATTTCGTGGGTGGTTATGCTTCACACCCCTTTATCGCCTGTTTGGGAATTTGGGGTTTTTTTTCAGTTTGTCTAAAAATTAAAATATTTTACAGTTAAAAAGAAATCCCTGAAGATTAGTAAAAAAAAAAATTATACAATAATATCGAGTCCGCATCTTGCCAATGTCAAAAACAATCCAATATAAAATTCAGAATTTTTTTTTTTTTAAAATTGGTGCTTGCATAATTTATTAAAACTCGTTGTTATATTTCAGATTCGACAGAAAAAAATCTAAACTCAGTATATATATATATATATATATATTTTTAAATTACGTTTTTCAGTGCAATTTAGAAATTAATCCCGTTGATGTTCATCACAGTAGTTTATTTTAATTAAATAAAGACATGTTTGAAGATTTTAAAAATGTAAAGTTTAAATGTCATTTTCGGTGTGAACATTTTTTAAAAGAATCTTCTTAGTTTACGTTTTCCTTTTTTGGTATGGATGTACAAAAAGGAAATCATTATTTCGCGTTGACTGACTTGACTACTATATTTTAATTTCATATCTCCCGTTCAGTCAGTATAAAAACTAAGATTATTTATTATACTCAGTTTAATAAAAGCGTATAGAATAAAAAATCATATTGATAAACTATTGCTTATATAAGGTTAAAGAAAATTTATTTTTAAACATTAACAATTTCTTGATTATCGCACTGCTGGTTTTCCGTACTTCTTAAAGTTTTATTTTTACTCCCCCCCTGCGCTTTTTCCGTCTGGCGTAGAATGATTGTATTTCTAATTGTCCTTTGACCTCACAAGCTAGCATGCATAAATAAAACATTATTTTCATTCTGTTTTGAGTAAAAAAAAAATGTAAGCATTACTTTTAGAAAATCCAATTAATTAATCCTTAAATTTACTAATAGACTTCAAAACACATCTCTAGTACATAAATGGATTTTAAATTTGTGGTTTACATTTGTGCTTTTGTATACAATGGCCACTCAATGAATGTCAAAAAAAAGTATATCGAATAGAAAAATTGACTAAAGAATGACCCTGAGTTGGAGATACTGATGAATCGAGGTTGCAAAAGAAAACAACGCCTTCACAACCCACTCCCAAACTGGGTCTGGTAAAAATAATTAAGTAGATAGCCACAGACAATAATTAACAACCACTGTCCATGGTTGAGCAGGAAAAAATGAGTAGGTCGAGGCATTCTCGTCAATTCTTGAGGAATCTGAATGTCCCATCCTAAACCCTTCTTCCACAACATTCCAACCAGAACTCTACTCCACACAGTCACTGGGTGGAACACTTTGTTCTCTAGCCATGGAATATAATGCAGCAAGCTTCACTAGATCAAACTGTCATCACAAGGTTGACCACATAAAACTTATAGGATACAAATCCTATATTCCAGCAAATGACTAAAAAAACACAAAGTAGATTTGCACACCCGCAAAATCGGATCAAAACGACCAAAAAAAAGATTTCACAATAAGGTGTGAAATTAATTTTCTGGCCAATGAAAGGAGGCGATTTGCTAAACCAAAAAAAAGATAACGAGCCAGTGTGAAAAAAAGTCAACAATAAATACAGAGTTTTCAAGTCAGTCAGTCAGTCAGTTCAACTAATGGTTCGGGAAGGCCCACGTTAAAAAGGCCTTGTGCCACATGACACCCTCGGGGGGGGTGACTGAATATTGTCAGTCAGTTCAACTCTGAACCGACTGTTCGGTTTAAGTCTCTTCCTACGGGCGAGAGGAACCCGAAGGAGGCTACGCCGAAGGGCGGAGTCTCCTTCGGGATTGTAAAACGGCCAGAACCCGTTTATACGGGTTCAAATGGGCTATTTTTTAGGCCGAGCCTAATGGCTCAAAGAATGCCCACGTTAAAAGGCCTTGTGCCACATGACACCCTCGTGGGGGGGGTGACTGAATATCGTCAGTCAGAGAAGGGCGCAAAAGATCACAGAAGATTGACAGTAAATTCCATCACTGACTCAAACCGAAAAGTGGAGTAGAAAGGAACAACAACAACAAATTTACAACTGACTCCAAAACAATTCATAAGTACATTTTCCTTTTATCTTCATTCCTCATTCACACTCTCTTTTTCAACTTAAATTGCTTGCCCCTTTTTCATTTTACAACTATACAAAACAAAAGAAACAGACATTATTCTGCTACTCTGTTAAAAGACAGCGAACACAGACATTTTTATCAAAATCACAATTTTGCTTAAACGAATTAAAACATTAATCTTTTTTACCCTATTCACAAGATAATAAATATACAATGTTCTATTTTTTATAAACGTTCCTTATCGTGTTGTTTCTTCTTGAGATTTGCGTTGTATTTTGTGGGCAGGGTATCCCGTATTAAATTCTCCTTTAATCCGGGTACGCTGAACCCCACAAACTGGCTCTCCATCATTGTGCGACCGCCATCTAATGTTACCAGCTGTATGGAATTTCAGGATACTCCCAAGTATGAAGGGGTTGGTGGTGAACAAAGAAACAGAATCTATCCCTGTCTACTTCGGAGTTGAGACGAATCATCAAGAACACCTTCCAGATGTCAGCTAGCAGGATATGGTTGTTTATCCTGAAGGATAGCAGCAAGTCCAGCATATCACCAGTCAGGTTTACACCGTATTAGTTGGCCTCGTTTAGCGAGACCAAGTCACAATTAAACACTGGACTGATCTTGGTAGTGGCCACCAGGTCAGTTTTAAAGATAAGTCAATGGAGTATCCAAATATAATTCCTAAAATCCCAATGGGACACAAATATCTCGTCAATAATTCCTTCTTGTTCTTGTTGGAAGAACATTTCTGGGTAATCTCAGTACAGCCCCTTCTTCTCAAGACTCCAAACCACACAGTCCAAGAGGCTCAAAGAAACCGTATGATTAGAAAGGATGTGCGCCGGGGTAACTGCACATAGTAGTTCCTGGTTTGGTTTGGTTTGGTTTGTGACACACACAGGTGGTCGCAGTCCAGCGCCAATATGTGACATCCACTGGTCACAACGTCAATATATAACACTGCGCCGTCAGCTCGTGGTCAACTCCCAGTTGCGGCGCGAAGCTGTAAGGTTTCTTCCACCAGCGTTTTGGGGTTGACTCCTTGTCGCTGCCACCAGCTTGTGTCCCAGTTGATCTGGTCGTTTCCGGTTCGATACCAGCTTTGTCATTCTCAGCTCGCTTCCAACGCTTGGTCATCTAAGTAACTGCTTTGATCTCAAGTCTAACCTACCCACGTTGTGATTTTGATCTTAGGTAGACGAAATCAATCAGGCGTCGGGCCGTAGTGCAAGCTGAATCCAGGGTAAAGGTGATACCGCACAAGCGTAAGTAAAAGAAATATAATAAAACAAACTCACGAAGTTCAAATATGTTGAGAAATAACAATTAACTTTATCTATCTGTTGAATACAGGAGTGTGTTTCTCTCCCAGCCCGTTTCTATGGATTCGTGACACTTTTTGCGTTTCTTAAGCGAGTTATGGTATTTTAAGTCGTTCATCAATAAAAACTTGCTTTTGGTAGGAAGACTAAGTCGAAAAGGATGTGGAAATCTTTCAGTCAGCTTCTACGAGGCAAGTGACTCTGTAACTCCGACCGTGTCTGGCTCTCTGCCGAAACTCTCCGAAAACTCTGCCGAAACTCTCTTCAGCTGCCTCAGATGTTTGTTTATATGGACACCGACCATGGGGCCTGACGTGGTTTGGGTTCTTTGACAATTCCCAATTCCCAACAAGAATTCTCTTTGTTCTTAGGCCAGGAAAGACTAATCACTTTCCGTTTTGGGGGTTTCTCCCTCATCCGTGAGGGAGGGTCGGAGGAGATTTATCCTCCTAGACTCTTCCTCTCTCACATTGGTACCTCATACCAATTCCCTCAATGGGTGTTAACAACTTCCCCGTCTTTCTCATACATTCACCTTCGCCTATTACCCATGCTACATCTTAGCCAATGATCACTAGGCAGTGTGGGTGTGGCTAGGCCGGCCCTTTTAGAATTATCATCGAAAATTTTGTTTACAAAATCCTTTTTTTCTTTTTCCTTTTCCTTCGGACAAAACATTTACAAATTCCAGATTGCCATGTAATTCCTTATCACATTACAAATCCACTTTAGCTTGGACCTCTACTGACTCATTAATCATTGTCGACAACCAACATTTGGCTTTTCCACTGGTCAACCTTCAATTGGGTGGCCGTACCCACCCGACAATTAAATTCTTTATTTTTCCCATGTCTTAAAATTCTT